TTAATATATCATGATTTGAGATAAAATATATATCTATTGTTATAATAAATGCATTGGAAAAATACTATAGAGTTTCGTGCTCTCTCTACAACCTTGGTCCACTTTGTGTCAGTTGCTCACAGTGATCATATTAACCTCATTATAATCACACCCATCAATTATCATTTCTGTTCGGACAAACCTCTCTTAGTCATCCCATCCAATTTGAATCACCCTCTTCCCTGGCTCTCTTGGAATCAATACTACGGTCACTAAGACCCTGACACAAGGTTCCTTAAATATGTGTTAATCCATAATGAATATTATCAAAGCTATTGTAGATTTCTTATCCTTGTCTCCGAATTTACCTGTGATATCCCTGGGCCATTTTGCCTCCATATAAATAGATATGTTTTGCCTCAGACTTCTCTACCTTAATACAGCTATGAGAAGAAGCAGGGAAAGATTAAAACCTAGAAGTTCCTGTCTCCAAAATAGACGCTCTTAATGAGCAAATTATTCTGCCTTCGATTGTGCACGTCCCCAGTGCTCCCCTCAGCCCTGTTCTGCCTCGACCTCAACATTGTCTCTTCCTCCCGGTCACCTTCTTGATATTTCTTGGGTTCACAAATTCCTCTTAGTTGCCACGCCTGGGTTTACTGTCCTTGAATGGATACAGGCTCCACATCTTACTCATCCCATCAACCATCCCAAGTGACAGCAGGTGACACTATCTGGATTCATCATTTACTCAGAGTCACTACAGAACCAAAAGGGACTAATGTTCCAAAACCCTGACTTCAGGGAAATGGAATCTTGGCACTTATTGATTTGACTGATGCTAGAAAGAGTGGAGAATCCAAAACTGCCCCCTTCTTATAAAAACCTTCTAGGAGCCTACTAACTAGTGTATTGAACAGTCTAAAGTCAATACAATAAAAACAGAAAGCATTGTCTTTTCCAGCCATGGTTTTCTCCTATGCTGTGTTGAATCTCTCTTGAAACTTCCTCGGGGAAATTCCACTTCATCAGTCATTTCTATGGGTATTAAAGTCCAGGCCAGCTGAATTTAATTCTGAACAAAACTTGAAATTCAAATTCTCCCTTGCACGCAAGCATTGCCCAGGTATCTCCCAGGAGACTGGAATTGGAAGGGGAATATGGTCACTCTTTCTCTCATCCACTACCACCCCTCCACCTTCTTCCTGAGTACCCCTTCCTCCTCTGTTGTATTAGGAGATGGAAAAGGGGAGTGGTACACATTGACTGTACCACTAGCCTCCTCTGTTGGTTTCTTACTCCCTCTGTGGCAGGTTCTGCAGGAGGGCTGTCTTACAGTGTGCTTTCGTGAGTCCTTCTGGAGCATCCTCAAGGATTCTCCTCACAGCATGATTTCTACAAGGGATAAGCAGTCAGATTTCACCCTTCAAATACTCCCTAAGCTCCTACCTTCATTGGCACCAGCCATAGCCTCTTGATAATGCGGTCTCTCTGTCAGACAGAAAACCATCCTAAGCACAACATTAGCAAGACTGTGCAAGCTGGTCTTCCTTCCCAGATATCATCAGCTCTTATGTCTCAATATCTTGTTCTATCTCCTCAGTTCCTTTTCTTTATTCAACAATAGGCTCAGAGATTAGGACATCAAGTCTACTACTATAGCAGTTATTCTGCTGAGGGATAAAAATGCTGCCTTCCTTTCCTGAAGACATCTTTAACATCTACAGGCTGTCATTGTGAATCCTGCCCTTTCAATTGACCCGTATTGTAGAACAACCAGTTTCTCTCCCTTGTACAAGATTAGGGGGACACTATATCATTGTCTCCTAGGACAATCACTCCCCTATCTAAAAAAGTATCATCTAAGCTCAGCCTTCCAAATGTATAGTTGAACCAGAGAATAAAGTTCTGTTTTTCCTTAGCAAGTCCGGCAGAGATTTTCAGCAGCACATTCTAGGGTTACTTTAGTATAAGGGGATAAGAGGCATCTATTATTTTCATCTTTCAACTTCAGCCAACATCTAATACAAGAAGAAAATTAGCATCCAACATCCTCTTCTTACACACGGTCCAACGAGAGCTTTCTCAGGAGACTAGAGAGGCAGTAAATATCTCAAAATACTACTTAGTCTGAGGGGGAAATTCAAATCCATATAAGAAAGTTAGGTACATTGAAGGTATGTGTCAATTTCTGGCTACTGCTTCCCATTTTCCTTAAGAATGACTCAGCTGCTTGCCATGGAATGTGATTGTCACAGCCATGACAGGGACAGAACGGAGAAGGCACTGTGAGTTGTAAGCAAAGGGAGAAGAATTCTATTTGTTGACTCACCCTTGATTGCTGATGTGGAATGTCCAAAATGCACTCTGAGGGGGTAATTCTGAGGTCCGACAGTTCCTGTTCCTACAGTACCAATTGGAATGACTAAGTCATGAAATTCTCCCTGGATTCATCGTCGGAGCAATCTTTGTATTTCCTTGACTTCTCGGGACAACAGGAAGCCAAGCCTTCTCAGGATGGGACTCCTGGGACTGGTGATTCTCAGGGAGGTGCCCTTATGCTGTGGGGGAAGTGACCAGATCATGATCTTACAGCTACTGCTGTCATCACAGGACAAATTCTGTGTGTGTGAGAACTGCAGACAACTGATCTCAGGAGGAGAAGAGTGAGTGACAAGAGCAATCACAAAAATATTCTTTCAACAAGAGACCTCTGCAGGCAGAAGAATATCAGAGAGGAGAGTCAATGACAGAATATCAGAGTCAATCAAGAATATCGGAGAGGAGAGTCAATAATCCTTTTCCTCTTCCTTCATCCCAAGCCACATTCCTAGAGATAATTCACTTTCTCTTAAATATATCAAAATAAATTATGGAATTCTGCCCCCCACCTCCCACCATGTTTTAAAGAGGATAAGTCATAAAGTGCATACTCTGATTGGGAGTTAGGTGTCTAAAAGCCATAAACTATCAAGTACAGAGAACAATCACAGGCATTTACCATAAGCATGTATTATTTTAATTTAAATATAATGTTCTCTTATACTTCTGACTTTAATATCTTGGAAACAAATAGCAAATTACAGGTATTATAATAATAGAGATGAATTCAGCGAAAAATTCATCTCTAAAACTATTATAAAATCAAATGGGAAAAATAAGAATCAGATGTTCTATGTCATCCTACAGAATCCTTAGCATTTATATGTTTTGTTCCATTAAATATGATGCACATGATGTCACCACCATCACTAACCTCATCATCAGCAACACATTGAACAAATCGTCTTCATGACCCACATTAATTATCTCCAATATTTTATGTTCGTAGACCATTTTATTTGCTTATAATCAGTATCATATATCCCATGGGAAGCTAAATATGGGCAAATTGACTTTTTTCATATTAAGTGTGGGTCTTGTGATCTCAACCATTGTACATTTCTTTTTTTTTTTTTT